TTGCCCCCTCACATATACTAATGTGCCACAAACAGGACTTTAATATCACCAACCATTCCAATTTTATTACGGTGTATCCATATAAATGGCCCACCCTGTACATATGAAATTCTTTTAAAAATTATTGTTTTTTCTAATGTCACAATTCCAACCCACCTCCTTTATCCAGGCTTGGTACCAGTGAAAATGACCCAAAATAGGCACTCTGGCGGAGTTACTTTTTGTGTGTGTGTGTCTCTGTGTTTAAGTAGTTTTAAACCTTCTGATCAACAAAAAGTAAGCATAAAACAAGAACTGACTGTGTTATAGTCAGGGCGGGAGCAGCGGCTTCGCTCATGCGCAATTCATTTGCAGTTTGAATGCGTAGGGGTCAGCATCTCCTGCTCTGACAGCAGCTGGGGGCAACAGCTCTGTGAGGACTATCTGCCACCTGTGAGGCTTGAGAATAAGAGTGATACGCGCTTTCACATCAAAAAGTGGTCATAAGTCTTCCTAATAACACCAGCAAAAGTCGCTAATTGCTTTTTAGAAAAAAAGTCGCTAAGGTGATCCAAAAACTCGCTAAATATAGCAACAAAGTCGCTAAGTTGGCAACACTGAATGGAGCAGCTGCGAGAGAATTCAACATTAATGAATCGATGGTACGGAAGTGGAGGAAGCAAGAAGAATGAGTTGAGTAAAGGTTGACTTATCTGAGTGTTTTGTTTGCGTAATGCGCCTTATGATGCAAAAAATGTGGTAATCTTCTGTACTTCTACCTGACTTTTATTGCTTCACAATGCTACACTGTGCCGTCCTCTACACTTGCAGGTTTTTGTGTTTGTGTGTGGAATGAAACTGTGGAACAATTTGATAGTGGAACTGAAGCAAAGTCCAAATATAAAGCAGTTCAAAAATTGTTTATTCATTTTCCACAACCAGTGTTCCAAAACTAGAGACACTTGTCTTTCATGAGTGGATATAGAAGTGTAAAAACAACACTACTCTGCTTTAAAGGGTTCCTTTAATTTTTTTAGAGTATAGCATCAAATCAGTTAAACTTCTGGGATTTTGATCTGGTCAGTTAAGTAGCAGAGGGGGTTGTTAATTAGTTAATTAATGAAATTAACAACAGGTGCACTAGAAGGGGAACAATCAAACAACCCCAAAACAGAAATGGTTTTTCAGGTTTATGGCACTGACATCTTTTCCCTCCTCATCCGTTAAGGCCCTTAACCCATCAGTATTGATAGCCAGATTAAGCCTTGAAGTTGTCCATCTAGTTGCTTCATGAAAAGGTTCATTTCTCGAGGCTTCGCACGCACATAAGCCCCCTCTACTTTCAGGTCCTGAAAGCAGACAGAAAAACCAGGCACCTGGTACCTCCTTTGTCGACCTATGCTTCAGATCATCGTATACGATGACTGAAGAGAGTTCATCTTGACAAAAGTAACAGCAGGAATTCAGTCACAACCTCTGATGTGCAAGAAAGTTTCATCACTGCGCGCAATGACCATAAACACTGATGTTGTGTTTGTATTTGCACTACATATCGCAAGTTTGAAATTTCTTGTTCTATATTTGACAGAAAAGGAACCTGTTAAACTTGAAGGGTTTTCAATTTAAATATGTGCAGCTTTATTTTTGTGCAATATAAATAAGTAATCAGGACAGCAGGGAGAATTGTAATGTTTATTTATTTACATTTTGCACTTTATTTTAAACAATTTAGAATTTCGTGTTTTACTGATATTTTACTTGCATCTTTTTATTCAAAAATGTTCGTGCATTTAACTTTATTTTTATTTGTTATTTAAGAATTTTCTGTTACATTGTTTGGAAAAAGTTGAGTTTTGTCATTTAAATTTGTTTTAAGTTTTGCACAATGTTCTTAAAATGGCATTCTGTACTTTTTTGAAGTGTGTTTATTCATCTGCAATATATCTGGCATGTGTGTCTGTTCAGTCATGTTGAGATCATATACATATATATATGACACACAAGAAAAGAATATATCACGATACATATATTGTTACCACACATGCTTCAAATTATACCACAATATAGATTTTAGATACGTTAAATTCCACAATTGATTCATCAGAAACATTTTTTGGTGGTCTGTGTTAAATATCAACACTGCCACATGCTTTATCTGGTAATTGTGCTTTTTAGAAACTGAATATATTGAAAGGTAGCTTTTAACAAGTTTTACTGTTTGTTTATTGGGACTTTGTCCTTCTTGGAGTATATTAATATTTAATTCATTTTGTTTTAGTTTATTCTTTCCTCCTCTTTACCACTTTGTATGTTTTTGTAAAATTGCTGTCTCCATGTTTAGGATTATAATCCACTGTCTCTTGTGCCTTGCTGTTGGTCCTGCTTCCTTTGTCATAATTAGTTTCAGCTGTGACTTGTTACCTGATGTTTCCACTCTCCCTGATTATCTCCTGCATGTATTTAAAGCCTCCGTTTGTCTTGCGTCTTTGTCTTGTTACACTGTGTACACTGTCTGGACGTGTTGCTTTACTTTATATCAGTTTAATGGCTAAGATTCTGTTCTTACTTGTCCCCTGCTAAGTTTATGATTTGTGCCTTCTTTTTGGCTTCTCTGCATCCTTGCATTTCGGTCCCAACTACACCCCACATCTTATTCAGAAATGTTCGTGCATTTATCTTCACTTGTATTTGTTATTTAAGAATTTTGTGTTACATTGTTTGGAAAAAGTTAAAAAGTACGGAGCCCCGCAGGGGACATGGGAGAAAAAAAAATAAGCCGGATTAATTAAAACTTTTGCGAGATCTCGCAAAAAAAACTCTGATCTCGCAAATCTCCTTCTCCTCCTTTTTTGAGGAGGAGAAGGAGGGTAAGAGGTTACACACAAGAGTTTATTTTAAGCCCACCGATATGCATGCGCTCCTCCATAAATCAAGTTACCATCCGCCGCACATGTTTCGAGGGATAGTGAAGTCTCAAATATTAAGATCCCACAGGATATGTAGCATGAAGGAAGACTTCCATAATGCAACCTGAGGAAGAGGGGCTACTCACGCTCTTTCCTGAGGAGAATATATAAGGAGACACTTTCCAACCTTCGTACTCCGAACACGTGCACAGAGTATGATCCTTGGGGGGATGATGCGGGAAAGCAAAGGGATGCTCGGCGGAGGGATATTGAACAGGGGACT